ACTGACTTTAATCCAGATTCTAAACATCATTAATCTGTGTATAATCTGTATATATAATCAGAAGTGTACAATCTGAATATATAATCTGAAGTATGTAATCTGAATCAATAATGTGAAATGTATAATCTGTATATATAATCTGAAGTGTATAATCTGAATATATAATCTGAAGTGTATGATTTTAATATATAATCTGAAGTGTATAATCTGTATATATAATCTGAAGTGTATAATTTTAATATATAATCTGAAGTGTATAATCTGTATATATAATCTGAAGTGTATAATTTTAATATATAATCTGAAGTGTATAATTTTAATATATAATCTGAAGTGTATAATCTGTATATATAATCTGAAGTGTATAATCTGTATATGTAATCTGAAATGTATAATCTGAATATATAATCTGAAGTGTATAATCTGATTGAAAGCTTCTTCAGGTAGTATCTGAGAGTCCGCCCTCTTTCAGGACTGAGCTCTGCATCCACTCAGAGGCTCMGCCAGTGGGCGATGTGCATTTCTTCAAAGCCTGTTAGCTTTTAGCAGCAGAGAATTAGTTCTGACTACAAACAGCTAAAATCTGTTAACGTATAAAAACTAAGAACAGATTTGAGGTCGTTTAGAGGAAACCGTCTCTTCAGGGTCAGATTTTGCCGCCAGCGTTTGTTTCCTGAACAGGAAGTGAAACTCTTCTGAGGCGACAGAAGCTGCCAGACGTTTGATCCAGCCTGGATCTGTCAGAGAATTAACAATATTTTAAATCTCCCCGTTTCATTTGGACAAACATTAAGAAATGATGAAACCCAATTAAAGCCAAAGACGAGCCGAATCCAGGAGGATGAAGATGAAGATGAAGACGATGAAGCCATCTGCCAGAGATGAGAGGAAAGCTGCAGGGCTGTTGAATTCAATTTATCAGCTGGCTGCAAGTCTGGAGCCTGACCCAAATCACTAAATATGATCGTTTACAAACAAAAACAAGCAGAGCAACCAGCCGAATAACAGCTGAAGTCTGTGATGAGAGCTGGATGACAGCTGAAATCTAATGAAGAAGAGCTGAACGACAGCTGAAATCTAATGAAGAAGAGCTGAATGACAGCTGAAATCTAATGAAGAAGAGCAGAATGACAGCTGAAATCTAATGAAGAAAAGCTGAATGACAGCTGAAATCTAATGAAGAAAAGCTGAATGACAGCTGAAATCTAATGAAGAAAAGCTGAATGACAGCTGAAATCTAATGAAGAAGAGCTGGATGACAGCTGAAATCTAATGAAGAAGAGCTGAATGACAGCTGAAATCTAATGAAGAAAAGCTGAATGACAGCTGAAATGTACTGAAGAAGAGCTGAATGACAGCTGAAATCTAATGAAGAGCTGAATGACAGCTGAAATGTACTGAAGAAGAGCTGAATGACAGCTGAAATCTAATGAAGAGCTGAATGACAGCTGAAATG